ACTTTATTGTTGACATTTGGATACATATTATTAAGTAAGGGGTAGTTTCGTCAAAAGTACAAAAACTTTTATGTAGCAGCTATAGTGAATTTTTTTCCAACCAATCGTATCGCTATATTTATTGAAATTACAAAATATCCTTATTTTGACAGGCAAACATGTTGACCTTGAGGTGCCTCTATTCTCTCTTATTAAGAAGTAGTAATATTAGATAAATACTCCATCCGTTTCATATTAAATGATATTAAATGAGGTAGTTTGTCTCAACACGAAATTTAAGAAAAAAGAAGACTTTTGAAACTTGTGGTCTTAAAAGCTTAAGGGGTAAAAAGTTTGTGGGGCCATGATATTTGTGTGACTATAAAAGCTTCTCATTAAGGGTAAATGAGTAAAATGAAAGAGTTTAAAGTTGAATTATTTCCAAATTTAAAAATGTGTCATTTGTTTTGGAACAGACTAAAAATGAAAGTACCTCATTTAATATGAAACGGATGGAGTATATAGTAAACTTTGTGTAACATAGCCAACTAATCATACATAGACAAAATGTAAAGTTGTTGTGTTTGATGCTAGAGTAAACTTGTGAACTCCAATAATCTAAAGATTCTAAGTAAAATTAGAAAAAGTACAAATTATAAATTAGATTTGCCTACCTAATATCTCCTTTTTTTTTTTTTTTTTTTTTTTTTTTTTTTTTTTTTTTTTTAGGATTTAGGGCTAATTGAGATTTAGGATGATCAAAACTTGAAAATAGAATAAGGGTAAAACAAAGGCTCTTCAATTACTTCCCTTCTCTAATATTTTGATTTTGTTTAAAGACCTAGGATATGGTTAGTTGAGATTTAAGATGATCAAAGTTTTTAAAAAATGTTATTTCTAGAAAATGTCATCCTTTTTCTAATATCTCGTGAATTTGCTTGAAATTTAGAGATTTGGGAACTCAAGAAAGGAGCATAAACTTCAAACAGGAGTCCATCTAATTTCTAATCACAGGAAGACACAAAAAGTGAAAAATAACTAGAAGAATTTGATGATCAAACATTGAAAAAAAAAGAATTCTATCTAAAGGACACAAAATAAAAGATAAAACAAAGGGGACAATTTCATAGTAATTGTTAGGTTGTCGCACCAAATCTAGTTATCTTTTTACTTGAAATATGCATTTCTTTTGGAACAATTATATATTTTATTTGGATTATTATATGAAAAATAAAGTTTGTTATGATGTTAAAATTTATATCTTCAGGATGTATAAGTTTGGCAGAAATTAGTCATGCGATCTAGCGCAACCTGATCATAAAACAAGTTCTGTTCAGAATTTATACTCTACTGTTTAGCGATGTTATTGGGCCCGTGCGCAACACAGAATATCTTTACTAGTAAGAGTAATAAAAGAGAAGATTTATTTTTTAGATTACCAAACAAAAAGGACATATAATTGCCCAAACGCAACAATTAAGGGAATTAAATCCTCCTTAAATTCACCAGATTTGAACTGGATTTATTCTGTTAAATACATGGACTGAAATGTCACACGAGAAGAATAGACTATGAAACCATATTTCCAACAATAGTCAATATCAATTTCACTATGTGGTCCTTAATTGGTCCCCATTAAAATTGGAACTCCAAAATTAATTACTTCTGTTTTGTTTCTTTTATTTGTAAAAAATTATTACACTCCTATGCATTTATCTTTTAATTATTGTGAATATTTTTACTATGATACAAAATTTTATATAGTTTTGTGACTGATATCTCGACATAAAATATCTAATAATGTGAAAGAACCTGCGATATATAAAACTGTTATAAGATGAACTAAACCTATAAAAAATTGGTGTTAAATTCCATGGTTCTTCCCCTTTAATATCCTGTTTTTTAATTATAGTTTAAACGTTGACTAAATGTTACTTAACGATCCAAAACTGACCATCCAAACTAAATTTTAAGTATTTATGTAGTACCATATATTTACATCGAAGGTTACTATTTGTGGTACCCACTCTAGTCGGGTGAAGTATACAAGTAGCTCTTAAAGTGGATGATTTTGAATTTTTGTCTCCTTTTACCTTATGAGCAGAACTTCAAAATTTATAAGTGTTGCCCTTTATTTACCCCATAAATATTAATTTTAAGTTTTGACCTTAAAATACCCATCTACCAAAAGAAACGATTGAAATAGAGCGAAGAATGGAAAGACAGGCTGTGAAGGCGCTGACTCAAAGGCTGATATGATTGAACTCAAAGGGAAAAGAAAATAGACTAAGCAAGAGGATTTACCATCGATCCTGAAAAACGAAGTGACTCACCAAGAGCATTGCCCATCAGGAGCTGCGGGCCTAAAGTCGTCCGCTTTCTCACCGGTCGCAGAAAGTCTTTTAAGAAAAAGGCTTCCCTAAATTTTCATGGCATCCGGATCGGGATACCCCGACACGACTCAGACTGGCCCTTTGTTTCGGGGTATTTACATAATATTTAAATTCTTATTAAATGCATATTTATTTATTAAGAAAAATCATTAGCCGCGGTGGACCGTTCTTGGGGACCGTGTATAAGGTTTGGCTTTACGGTTTATACAAGGTTTTAAGAGTCATAATTTTCCATCTTCGCCTTATATACTTTCGTGTACTCTCTCTCTATATATGCATAAACGTCACACCTTATTATTCCTAAATTTATTACTAATTGAATTAGGTCAGTTATTTATTTTAATACCAATAATAACTTACATTCTTAGGTGCATGAAATAAGAAAGGGTCAAAAGTTAAAAACTACCAAAAAAATATCGTATTTCTGTATTTTTTTTGCTCCACCCTCCTACTTTTCCAATATTCTCTCCGTTGTATTACTTTTCCTATACAATACAGAAATATTGTATTTCTGTATTTTGACTATTGGAAGAAATTTAAAAATAGTTAGATTTACAACTGGTCATTCAAAAATAGCCCAACTTCAAAAGTAATCAAAATTTAGCTACTTTTCATGTAAAGATAAATCTGAGCGAAAATACTATTCAAAACCCGAAAAATATGCCCGTATATTATACTGGAGTTCCAGCATAAGTATGCTTGAACTCCAGCATATTATACGGGAGTTCCGGGATAACTATGCTGGAACTCCAGCATAATATGTTGGATTTCCACCATAATTACACTAGAACTCCAACATAATATACTGGAGTTCCAGCATAAGTATGCTTGAACTCCAGCATATTATACGGGAGTTCCGGGATAACTATGCTGGAACTCCAGCATAATATGTTGGATTTCCACCATAATTACACTAGAACTCCAACATAATATACTGGAGTTCCAGCAAGTATAAATGTCCAGTATAATATACTGGAGTTTGGAGCACCGTTGCTCCAGTCACCCGTATATTATACAGGAGTCAGCAAAGTATACCGGTCCAGCATAATATGCTGGAGTTGCGTCCACAGATGCACCGAACTCTCGTATATTATGCGGGACCGGTCTCTGTTGCAGCAAAATAGTGGCTATTTTTCATTGACTTAGTAAACGGTGATTATTTTTGAATTATCAGTCCGAAAACTGGCTATACCGTGCTATTTTGACTATTGCTTTCCCTCTCTTTGTCTGAAGTCCTCAACCAATAACGCAGAGCACAAGTCACGGCCAAAAAGAAGGTGAAAAGCAAAACCAATTAAATACCCAATTTATTTCCCCCTTCTTTCTTTCTTTTTCCTAATGCTAAATTATTTTTTTGTCCCCAATTTATTTCACTCTTTTTATTTAATTTCTGAATATTTGTCATTGCTCAATTAGCATTATAATTTTATAATATTTTACAAATTTAAATAAATAAATATATATATGTATATATATTTAAATTTGTAAAATATTATAAAATTATAATGTTAATGTAGCAATGACAAATATTCAGAACATTAAAATAAAAAGAGCGAAATAAATTGGAGACAGAAAAATATGTATTTCATTTTCAATCCCATTTTATGCACTAATTATATCTTATGTTCAATGTGATCATTTACACTAATGTATAAACTTGCATTATTAACTTTATTATTATGAGTCTAGATTTTGAATTATCCCCTAATATTAAGTCTAGATTTTGAATTACGTGCGATTAGACACCTTAATTTTATCTAATTACTACATATTAACTTTATTCCTGCAATGCATGTATTATGTCACAAATTCAAACTTTTCTTTTAAAACAAATATCAAATTAAAAGTTGATGTGATGATTGTTGATATTAGTGGCCATAATTATAATTTCAATTTAATATTTAACATAAGAATAAGAATAAATAGTAGTATGGAAAATCTGGTCAGTCAGTCAAACAGTGTCTCTAAATTTAATTAATTAATTCTCAACTTTACTCCACCAACTCACCCTACCCACCCAACCCACCCAACAAT